TCTTTCTTTCTTTCTTTCTTTCTTTCTTTCTTTCTTTCTTTCTTTCTTTCTTTCTTTTAATTGCTTCTCAGAAATGGCTTTATTTTTTATTTCTATCACTAGTTTTTGAGTGAAGTTTTCCAGGCCAACTTTTGTGAACAGAAAAAGGATGTTTTCTTTCATGATTATTAGCAAATTAATGCATTTCACTCTGTTATTGGTGTTGGTGAAAGTCACTGGGAAAGGACCACATGTTTTCTATTCTACGAAGAGAGTGGGAAAGGATTATGCTAAAGTTTGTTGTAGTTGATGCATCAATACATCGCTGCTTTTCTGTGATGTGTGAATCTGAGAAATTTTCTAAAAATGCTTTTTGATTCTTTTAAAGAATTCCACATCCTACTGTTCTCTGTCTTCATGAATGAGTAGTTTGTGTCTCTTGACTGTAGGGCCATAGGTGACCGAAACGACTGGATTTCTTCTGCTTATTCTGGTGCATCTCATTGCAGGTGCTCAACCTGAAATTGTATCATACAAGATCCCTGCCAGAAGACAGATTTGAAATCATAATGAAGTCTGTACAGGGAGGATTGATGTCCTTTAGTTTTAAAAAAAGTAATAGCCACCTTGAAAAGGCAAGATTCTGAGAGTGGCTGGCTGCCTCTGGGAAGCAGAAGTCATCCTTGTGAGTTGTCCATTGACTCCTGGGACTCTCATCAGAGATGAGGCACCTTTAATACCTGGGAGTGACTGTTCCCCATAGGCACTAGAATATCAGCTTTCAGGGCCTGACAAGGATACTGAGGCTATTAGTACTGGTATATTTCCTGACTGTCCTACTAGAAGAGAACAAAGCTTTGGGGACACTACAATTTAAGAACTGCACAGTTTAGTAATACTGGTGTAGGGCTGAATCCAGGTACTCAAAAAGGAAGGTGAACATTCTGAAAAATGAGAAGAGTGAAATCTCCTTTGTATATTAGAAGGATCATCTTAAAGGAAGCAGAGGAGAGATCTCTGGAGTTTGAGTTTAGAGCTGAATTTATCACCTTAAAGGGTAAGAATAAGCCCTCAACAGAGGTTGTCTGCAGCATCTAATCTCAGCAGTTCTCATCTCCCTCTTAAAGTCGCTTAAGGACTTTAAAATATTAAGTGCTGTTGCCCGGGCCCACCCCACACCAATTTGTATAAAATTGGATTTAAACAAATCTCTGGGAATGAAGGCTGAACACTGGCCTTTTAAAAAAATTCCCCAAGTGTATAGCTAGGGCTAAAAACTATGAGCTCTCTTGAATTTCTTATATGCCACAATAAGTGGCGTTGTTCCACAGAAGAGAGAAGTCCTGCATCGAATTCCTCAGTGTAATAGAGGAACAAGAATGTCACAGTTAAGTCATCCAACCTTTAAAGTTTATGTCTTTGAGTACTTCCCTCTAAAGTGTCTGCCATCCTGCCCTGACCAGTGTGGCTCAGTTGGTTGAGTGTCGTCCTGTGCATCGTAAGGTTGCAGGTTTGACTCTCGGTCACGGTGTATGCGAGAGTCAGCCCATTGATGTTTTTCTCTCTCTCCCTTTCCCTTCCTATCTCTCTAAAAATCAATAAAAATATTTTAAAAAAATAATTAAACTGCCATCCTAACACAAAGCAAAAGCTCCAAGTTTTAGGTTCACCCTTAATACCATGTATTGATGAGATGCTTTTTTTCGCTTTTTCCCAGTTATGCCTTCTCAGAATGCTGTACTTTTTCAGGAGGGAAACATGGAAGAGAAGGAAATGAATGATGGATCACAGATAGTCAGGTCCCAGGTAAGTTTAGTTTTACCCTCCTCTGAAATGCTATCATAGTTCTCAGAATGTGGGCACTTTTATTTTTCTGTTCTCAGAAGTGCTAAGCCTCAAGACTTCAAGCCCTTGAAACAGTTGTGACAGATGATAATCTCTATTGGATGTTTCCCATTCACCTTATATACCCCTTTATAGCTCTTTTCCCCTCCAGCATTTTTACAGATCAAGTATTCACGTCAGTGCTAGATGTTGTAAAAGAAGCAGAAGAAGCCATATACTGTCTTATAACCACCCTTCACTCTTAGAAAAAGCTTAGCTTTACATTAAAAGATGAGCCAATGAATATAGATGTATATATTTTAAATAAAGTGGTTAAGATATATTTTATGGATCTCCACTTTAACCAGCTTTTTTGCTTAACACACCAGATGTCAGTCTTAGTTGCTTCACATAGGAGGCCTTCTATTGTTCCAAATTCTATGAAATAATCATTATCTGTACATAGCAAATAAACTCATCAGAGGAGATTTTTAAAAGCCTACATCACACAATTAATATTTAATAAGTACAATGTTGGATGCTGCTATGCATGCAAAAGACAGCAAATACAAGAAGTACTCAGAAAAGGGAGAAGTCTGATTGAGACTGGAGGCAAGAGAAGACTTCACAAAGAAGGTAGAGTTTGAATTTGTGCTAATATCAGGTAGGGTTTGTAAATTAGAAAAGATTGGACCATTGCAGACAGGAAATAAAACTTGAGCAAGAGCTGGGACAATAAAGAGACAGTTATCTAGAGCTGAACATTTATTTAGTACATTAGTGTTTTGGGATCTTTCGTCTGCAAGGAATAGATTCATTCAGTTTACTCTTAATTGTAAGACCCCACATTAGAAATAAAAAGACATCGAGAATAATGTGGCATACATGCCTCTTGGCCTTCTAGCCAGTGTTTAATTTTCCAGAACCATTTATTGTGTTAAGAAAGAAGATGATTCATTCATTCAACAAATATTTTTTGAGCAGCTCCCGTGTGCCAGAAATTATGCTTGGCATCAGGTATATATCAATGAGCAAAAACAAACGTGGTCCTAAACCTGAGTGGCTTACAGTCTAACAGAGACAGATGTTCAGCAAATATACTAATAAATTGCAAATTGAGATGTGTATTATACAAAATAAGAATAAGGTGCCATGAGTGCGCATTAGGGAATCAAGGAAGAACTCTCTGGGGAAGCAAATTTTAAAGTGAGATGTGAAGGATATATAAGAGTTATAAAAGGAAGTGGAAAAGAGCATTTTAGGCACGTGCTAAACATGCCTTAGGTTTTTACACAGTAAAAACCATGGGTATATTTGAGAAATTAAAAGAAGGCCAGTGTGGTTGGAGGGGAGCGAGGTAAGCTTAGGGAAGCATGCAGGCGCTAAGTGTGCAGGGCCTTTGGCTGTGAGGTTTGGGTTTTATTCTAAGTGCAGTGAAAAGTCTTTGAGGGAATTTAAGCAGGATAGTAACGTAATAAGCAATTGAATTCCACTTAAAAGATCACCCTGGTGTGTGCTATGTAATAAGTGAACTTGTGAGAGGCAAGAATGGAAAAGGGAGAGAACCACCTAGGCAACTATTGCAGTCTTCTAGATAACAGAAAATGATAGCTTAAAACTTGAAGATGGAGAAAAATTGGTGGGTTTGAGAGCTTTGCTTTGGGAAACAGCAGAGATTAGCAAGAAGGGTAAAAGCAAAGGAAGAAAAAGGCCGATTTCAAAAAAATGTAGCCCAGGAAATGGCAGGGCAGTGGAAAATCAGATCATGTCACTCCTGCTCAAAATGTGTGGCTCCCGTTTCACTCAGAGTAAAAGCCAAAGTCTGATGATGGCCCAAGTAAGTCCTTCAGAATCTAGACTCTGGGCATTTCTGACTTTATAGTTTACTTTCCCCTTGCTTACTCCCCTCTGGCTACCATGGCCTCACTTCTCTTCTGTGAACATGCTACACACACTATTGCCTTAGGATCTTTGTACTAATAACTTTTCAAATCCTTAAATGTCACCTCTTCAGTGACATCTTTTCTATATTGTTTTTTAATTGTTTAGATAATACGAGAGTCTTTCCCCTGTTAAAAATTATAAAAGGCTCAAAAGCAAGAATTATTTTATGCATGTTTTTCTATCTGTCTTGAAAGATGATCGAAAGACATGTAGTAAATGTTATTTCAAAATTTTTGACCTAGATTACTCAGAGCCCTGAAGACTCTCAGCACAAACAGCTTAGACATCCTAATCTTTGTCTATTGCTGTACCTTTGCTACGTCCAGTAAGGGCCCCAGTAAAAAAAAAAAAAAAAAAGTTTATGGCTGAGTAAAGATGTACTTGATGTTGCAGGGGTCATTGACATTCCAGGACGTGGCTGTGGACTTCACCAGAGAGGAGTGGGACCAGCTGTACCCTGCTCAGAAGAACCTCTACCGAGATGTGATGCTAGAAAACTATAGGAATCTGGTCACACTGGGTAAGGATGGTGTCCCTGTAAAACTGGAAACCATTCTGATGGGTTCATAGTAGTCCTCCCTTATCTGCAGGGGATGCCTGAAACCTTGGATAGTGCTGAACCCTACATACACTATGCTTTTTCCTGTTCATACATACCTATGATAAACTTCAATGCCTTTTCCATCTTAACTAAGCACTTATGCACTCTGGCTATAACATTTGCAGTTTGAGGTGCGACAGCAAAACTAGCATGAATTTTTTTCTTCACAATTTTGTGGATAGAAGACATGTTCTTACCATAGATCTAAACAACCTCAGCATATAAATTGTTTTTTATCCTTACCCAAGGATATTTTTCCATTGCTTTTTCAGAGAGAATGGAGGGGCAGGGGCAGAGAGAGAGGGAAACGTTGATGTGAGAGAGACACATCTGTTGGTTGCCTCCCACACTGCACATGCCTCAACCCCTGCAGGGGCTAGGGATCAAGCCTGCAACTGAATCGAACCCGGGACCCTTTAGTCTACAGGCCGACACTCTAACCACTGAGCCAAACTGGCTAGGGCTCAGCATATAATTTTTTCTTTCCTTATTAAGCTGAGAACTTTCACCTTTTTACTTAAAGGAATCACTTTATGGCTTCTCTTTGGCATATCTGAACTGCTAGCATCACTCCTCTTGTGCTTTGGGGCCATTATTAGGCAAAGTAAGTGTTACCAGAACACAAGCACTTAGACACCAAGACAATTGATCTGATAACCAAGAGGGCTATGAAGTGACTAACTGGCCTGGAGCATCCACAGTGTCGATAAGCATATCAACAGAGGGATGATTCACGTCCTGGGAGGGATAGAACAGGATGAATGTGCAAGATTTTATCACAATAGTCAGAACAGCCTGCAATTTAAAACTTACGAATTGTTTCTTTCTGGAATGCATTATGCTAAGTCAAATAAGCCAGTCAGAGAAAGACAAATATCATATGATTTCACTTATATGTGGAATCTAATGAATAAAATTAACTAACAAAATAGAAACAAACTCATAGCTATCAGAGTGGAGGGGGGAAAAGGGGTTGGATGAAAAACCTCATAGACAACAGTATGGTTATCATCAGAAAAGGGAGTGGGGGATGGTAGGAGAGGGTAAAGGGGGGGTTAAATGGTGATGGAAAAAGACATGACTTGGGGTGGTGAACACACAATACAATATCCAGATGATGTATTATAGAATTGTACACAATAAACCTATATAATTTTATTAACCAATGTAACGCCAATAAATTCTATTAAAAAAGAAAAAGAAAAATGCCTTTATAAATCAGTAAAAAATAAATAAAAATTTAAAAATATAATGTATGAATTGTTTGTTTCTAGAATTTTTTATTTAATATTTTTAGACCATGGTTGTTTGCTGGTAACTGAAACTGCAGGAAGCAAAACTGTGGATGAGGGGGAGTACTCTTTTTTCTCAAGTAGTGAAAACTTCCAAAGCTTTGTCAATATAGTTCAGGCCAGAACAGAAGAATGCTAATCAGTTTCATAGACAGAGACCTTTGTTTTCTGCTCTTTCTCCTCAAGTAAAAAGTCTTGACTTCCAGAGTTGGAAGTGGGTAGCTTTATTTTGCTGCCTCTGAAGCCTCCCCTTTCCAAAACCAGAGGCCCTTCAACACTAAAAACGTTGGAAATGAGTTCTGAGAGAAATGTTTTTGTTTCCAGTGTAAACTTCTGAGATACATTTCCCCCCCATGAATAGGGCATCAACTTTATAAGCCAGAGGTGATCGCTCAGTTGGAGCAAGAAGAGCAGTGGGTGACGGAAGGAGACAGCCCGCTGGACACTCATCCAGGTGAGAAGCAAGCATTTTAGCACTTGCTCCTGGGTGAACGGAAACGGTCACTTTTGACGTACTCAACTGAGTGTGCTCCAAATACCTCTCTCTGGGATCTGAAGAATACTGAAGACGAAAAATCTAGTTCACGTTTGACCTTTTCCCAAAGTGGAAATGGCTTTCTTCTTTTTTTCTGGTATATACTTATTGTTTAAAAATTGACACAGCACAGAAGTTAATTTGAAGGTATTAGTTTGAATGTCCATAAATACCCTGGTGTTGCAAATCCCCACACAGCATTTTCCATTTTTCATCACACATTCTCGCCTGGTATTCTTTAAATCTCTCTTGTCTGTATCTCTGCCATTTTCATCTACTTTTCATGTTTTCTTTTTCCTTTCATTATCAGACTCTTTAAACTTGCCTAAAACCCAGAACCCTGGTTGTTATTCTCATGATCACCTTCGCGATACACCCTGCTCGTGTTACTAAAACTGTTTTCTGGGAGATTACCAATGACTTCCTTCCAGCCAGACCCAGTGGCTAGAAATCGTAGCTACTGTCTCCTATGATCTTGTATTTGACTGTGTTGACTTTGCTTTTTAGAAATTTTCTTCCACCCTGCCTGTGAATCACACTGTTCTTGCCCCTTTCAGCCTTTCTCCTGTATCGCTACCTGCTCCTGTGTTACCTCCTCTCCCTCCTTTTTCTTCTGAAGGTGTGCATTCCTGTGGGCTTGGTACTCCATTCTGTTGTAGTGCTTATAAGTAGCCTTATATGTCAGTTTCCCCCATTTCTACATTTCTCGTCTAAGTATTTCACCCACATTCTCTTTCCAGATTTTAGATTATATTTTTGTCTATGAATGTCGTGCTATTTTAATTAAGTGCCATATTTCAAAACCTGGAGCTGTTGACTTTGTACTCTCTATTTATTTACTTATTTTTAAATATATCTTTATTGATTTCAGAGAGAGGAAGGGAGAGGGAGAGAGAGAGATAGAAACATCAATGATGAAAGAACCATTGATCGGCTGCAGCCCACAACCCGGACGTGTGCCCTGACTGGGAATCGAACCCTGATCGCATGTATCCTAGGTCGATGCTCAACCGCTGAGCCACGCCCGGCTGGGCTGTACTCTCTTCTTTAAAACATCCCACTAAATATGAGACTTCTTGGCCAAAAGAAAAACCTCCTTAGTTTCCTATTATTAGCATAGCACCTACAATGCTCTGCCTGGGTTATATTAGCAAATAGTTGACTGCTGCCCATATCCTATATTCCACTCTGGTTCATTCAGCCAAACTAACCTGCCCCATCTCTATGTAGTTTCCCACTCTGATTCTTTGTTCTGACACCTTGTTTCATCATTTGGACTTCGTTTTGTTTCATTTGAACTTCTGCTTTTTCTTCCTAATCCCTCATTCCTTCACTTAGCTCCTACCCTCCAAATCTTGTTAGAATGGAACTAAACAACAATAGTGAGTGAAGGAAGAGGTGAGCAGGGAAATAGTTAAGTGGGGAAGGAAGAGAATAGTCAGAGAAAAGGCTAGGATGGAGAGAGTAGAGTTGGGGAAGAGGCAGGCAGGGAGAGAGAGAGAAAAGAAAGAATATGACTCTGGTAACAGACCCAGGGGAGAGGTAAGGGATTAATTTTGGAGTTCTGACTATTACATGTGACTGGACATTTTCATTGCTGAATAGAGACTGTTTGTGACAATATAACAGGAGTGTCAGTTACTTAAGAATTAGGGGAAAAGCCCCGGGACCTGCCCAAATATTCATCTAGAAGCAGAGGAAGACCACGCCCACTAAATAAACTTTAAAGTGGTAGGAGACTGAAATGAAATTTTGTTTTTATCACAACCCATGAGTCATGCTTGTTCAAAATATGGTTCATATTTATATTTGTGTGAACATAGGAAATATCTGGCAAGGTAGGCCCCAAACTATTAACAATGATTACCTCTAAGATGGTTGGGTAACATCTGGCCCATGGGCTGAATTCAGCAGCGAAATCATTCTGGCCCTGCTAAGGCCTCACCAAAGAGAAGTAGTTCCAGCCATTAGGGGTGAGTTACGTAAATGTTTGACCAAATATAGCAGGCTAATTTTTTTTTTTTAAATATATCTTTATTGATTTCAGAGAGAGGAAAGGAGAGGGAGAGAGAGAGCTAGAAACATCAATGATGAGAGAGTCATTGATTGAGCCCACGACCCGGGCATGTGCCCTGACTGGGAATCGAACCTTGATCGTCTGGATCCTAGGTCGACGCTTAACCGCTGAGCCATGCCCGGCCAGGCGCAGGCTAATTTTTAAGTTGATAATTTTGTATGCCCTGAGAATGATGTTATAAATATTCAAATGGCCCTTGGCAGAAAAAAGGTTTCCCACCCCTCTCTAAGGAGTAGAATTCTTACAGTATGTATTTTCACATTATTATATTACCATAAGCAAGTATTAGTTTTATCATTTTAAACAAAAGATTAAAAATAATAAGAAATAATTTTTAAATAAGCAAGTGGCTGTTCTTATAGTAGAATAATCCACAGATGAGACCTGTCTTCTTTAAATACAGTCTTTCCTCTAGTATCTCCCACCTCTGAACACAGGCCTTTCTCTGATATTTCTTATTCTCCTTTCCATTTCCTTTCAACTGTGGACACTCCAGAATGATCTCTTTTTTTTCATGGTTACCACACATGTTTTAAAATTTCCTCCAGCTCACTGCTTCTTGTCATCTTTTTATAGTCTTTCTTCTTGTTACATAGCCTCATTTTAGAACTTTTCAATGCCACAAATGCCTTTTTGCATTATTGTCAGTTTCATTTGGTAATTCATTAGCAACAATATTTTTGAAAACAGACTGCTGCAAAATATCTGAATATTCTGATTTTTTTCTTTTGTCATTAGAAATATGCTGTAAACCCCCACTTGTTTTTTTATAAGTCTAGTGCCTCGCACCATACTTAGTTATTACAGTACTATTGACTATATGCCCTATGCTGTACTTTACATCCCCATGACTGTTTTGTAACTATCAATTTGTACGTCTTAATTTGTTCTGTATTTCTTATAGATGGAAAAAATAGACCTGAAGTCAAAAAATCAACTCCAATCCAGACTATTTCTGATGAAAAGCAAACCCATGACATGATAATAGAGAGACTAACAGGAGACAGTTTCTGGTACTCCATTCTAGAAGGACTCTGGGATTTTGATTACCAGTTAGAATTTAACCAAGAAAACCAGCAGAGACATTTAGGACTAGTATCGTCTGCCCAAAAAAAGGTCACACAGGAGAGAAGCCTTGAATGTAATACAATTGGGGAAAACTATAAAATGAACTCAAATCTTATTATGCATCAGAGAATTTCTTCAATTAAAATACCCCTGAATTCAGACATACAAGGAAATAGCATCAAACATAATTCAGAATTGATTTATTACCAGGGAAACTATGTAAGAGAGAATACTTGTGAATATAATGAGTGTGGGAAAATCTTCAATCAACATATTCTTCTTACTAATCGTATTCGTTCTGAAGAGAAACCCAGTGAATGTAGGAAGGCCTTCAGCCACAACTCATCTTTGACTCAACCTCAAATAGTCCTTACAGGAGAGAAGCCCTATAAGTGTGATGAATGTGGGAAAAGATTCAGCCAGAGAATACATCTTATTCAACATCAGCGAATTCATACAGGAGAAAAACCTTTTATATGCAATGAATGTGGGAAAGCCTTTCGTCAACATTCATCCTTTACTCAGCATTTGAGGATTCATACTGGAGAGAAGCCCTACAAATGTAATCAATGTGGTAAAGCCTTTAGCCGTATCACATCCCTTACTGAACATCATAGACTTCATACTGGAGAGAAGCCTTATGAATGTAGTTTTTGTGGGAAAGCCTTTAGCCAGAGGACACATCTTAATCAGCATGAGAGGATTCATACGGGAGAGAAGCCCTATAAATGTCATGAATGTGAGAAAGCTTTTAGCCAGAGTGCACACCTTAATCAACATAGGAAAATTCATACTCGGGAGAAATTATGTGACTATAATAAATGTGAGAAAGTTTTAAGCCATGGTCCTTCAGTTACTCAGCAGCACATAACTCATGGGGGGGGAAGTTATATGAATATATAAATGTAGGAAATTTTTTGTCAGACCTTTCCATACCATTCAATAACAAGTTATTCATAGTGGAGACAAAGTTTGTAAACAAACATTTAATGCATAGAAACCAAATAAATTTAGACTTTAAACTAGTAGAATATTATGTTCCCAGGAGAGGTTATAAATAGTGAAAATAATTTATAAACAAGATTATATTAGGAGTCATGTTCCAAATCTGATATAAACCTTTTTTTAATGACCAGAAATTCTGTAGGCATACCCTGTGGTTATTCACCTGTGAGTTTTATGATATAAAGTTTTTCAATTATATAAACATTGATTAATCAAGGCAATGATGTAGTGTAGTCACATAAACTTGAAATAAACAGAAAACACCAATATTTCTCATACTTCGACATTTGTATGCTTCCTTTGCAGTTTTTAGTGTTTACTTATTAAATATGAAGTAAACACCATATTTAGTGTTTACTTCATATTTTTAAAGGGGCTTAATTTTTAGCCTTTAGGAAATATTATTTATGAAAATTGGGTTTTATATGCTAATTATATTTGTTCTAATTTCCATCAGAGTAAATATTCATTGATATATCACCTAAATCTTTTGTACCATTATTTGAGAAACAGTGTGATAAGATAGCAATACTCTGTTGCTGTTTTTTTTTGTTTTCTGGGGTTTTTGGCAATGCTTTCATTAATCTCATCAGAATCCTAGGGTCACTTTAAAAAGAGTCTTGGAGGAGATTGAGGATTATGTTGATGAAATTTGAAGTTATTCGGAAAAGTCTGCTTTTCTATCATGTTGTTCTAGTTTTAAATTTCCCTGTAACAAAACATAACTTTTAAGTTAAAATTGTTGTTTCTGCTATATTTGCAGATTTGAATAGAGAGAAGGTTTTGTTGTTGTGTTTGTTGTTGTTATTATTGTTTCTAATAATGAATGGGGGCTAAGAATTCCTCTGCCTCCCAGCCCCACTCTGGGAGACAAGAAAGTGCAGACTGTACCAGAGGGTGATCTGTGGTACATAGTTGAGGCTGAGAACCAGGGAAGAGTCGTAGTGTCTTATAGAAACAACTAAGGAAGTAATACTAATTGGCTTAATAATTCACTTTATTTATTGAGATATATTTATGTAACACCTTTTCCCAAAAAGAATTTAGGTGATTTAATTTGATTTTTATGATTACTGCCTTGTTTGACAAAAAATCACATTTTGATGTTACAAAGCATTGCAAACTATTATAAACCATAAATAGCTGTAAATGTGAGGCTGCCTGAGTTTCTTGGCTTTTCACTTTTCTCTCAGTCTTCTCAGGCATGGTGAAAGAAGCTTGAGGCCAAGGTAGGAATGCATTTTCCTTGCTTTTTCACCTTTCTTCTAACATATCTCCCAGCTCAAGACTTCCCTGATGCTCTTCCCTGTGAAGGGCTAGATTTAAGCTGAAATGATTTAAAGACTTAAAACACTAAAAGGCAAGAAATTAATTAAGTGAATTCACTTCATCATAGAAATTAAACTTTTGAAAGTGCATTTATATCCCACACATCAGCAGATGTGAAATATTTTTTAAAACCCTGAGTTACAGTAGTCAGGGAGGATGTCTAACAGTATTTTGTGTTCAAATATCATTGTAGTAGAGATCCATTTTCAGGGTAGATCAGTTCTGGAATTATCTCTTCACCAAAAGGAACTACATTTAGCATTCATTTGCCATAGGAAGTAGAGTATAGGGCACTCAGATTTCAAGAAGCAAGAGAGTGAGCCAAGGTGAAGTCTGACAGCAAAGGTATGTATTAAAGAATTAGTGCCCTAGCTGGTGTGGCTCAGTTGGTTGAGCACCAAAAGGTTGGTTTAATTCCCGGTCAGGGCACATGCCCGGGTTGTGGGCTCAATCCCTGGTAGGAGGCGTGCAGGAGGCGGCCAATCTATGTTCTGCTCTTGCATCAATGTCTTTCTCTCTCTCTCTCTCTCTCTCTCTCTCTTCCCTCCCCCCTCCTCTCTTCTCTCTCTCTCTTCCTCTCCCTCTCCTCTCCCTTCCTCTCTCTCTAAAAATCAATTTAAAAATCTTAAAAAATAAAAAGTAGTGATGAATTACAGCTGGTAAAGGATTTTATCAAGGTTTAGTTTTGCAACCAGCAAACAAAACAAAACAAAAAAAACACCCTGCATCTTCCACAAAGAGTACTAAGGGCTCCAATACAAAGCAGTTTGTCTCAGGATACATGAAAAAAACAACAACATGGGATTTTTAGAAGAGGATCAGAAAAATTTGGACAATCCCAGAAAAGAAGTGTCTGAACTAAATCAGAACAGTTGGCCAAGGATTTTCTCCAATTCTTCATACATAGGAACTATAAATTAGAAGCCTACTATATATTCCTTAGAGTCATAAATGATTATGCTCATGTTAATTATATAGGAAACCATGTTGTTCTGGTGTGAATTCATTCTCATATTGTCCTTTGATCTCTTCAAAATGTCCCAGGTTAAGGAGTGAACCCTAAATATATATTAATTACATCAAAATACTGGTGCTCAGAGTAGGGGAGCCAGAGGAGTAGTGCTCATTCAAAAACCTTTTGTTATGACTTATTTCTGTCTAGGAGGGCAGGACATTATCATTTCACATATATTAGTTCATTTGGTCCATTCAACCAGGTGTCATGGCCCTTCTTTTATAGAGAAATCCTTGCCCTGGTAGATGACGCTCAGTGGTTAGAGCATCGGCCCTCGAAGTGAAGGGTCACAGGTTCAATTCCTGGTCAAGTGCACATACCTGGGTTGCAGGTTCAATCCCCATGTGGGAGGCAATCAGTTGATGTCACATCGATGTTTCTCTCTCCCTTTCCCTTCCTCCCTTTCACTTGCTCTAAAAATCAATGGAAAAAATAGTCTCTGGTGAGGATTAAAAACAAACAAGCAAAAAAAACTTCTTGTAAGAATAAAACTTTTTTAAAAGAGAAAGATCCTTAAGTCTAGACATACTAATAAATTATTTTTCAGGGTTTCTCAGACTGAAATATCACTCGAACATGGGTCATCTTATTCCTAATCCAGTAGATACAAACTGCCTAGAACAATATTTCCCAACACTCTGAAAACATTTAATAAATATATTAAAACACTAATTTGATAAGATTTATGCACCCCTATGTTCATTGCAGCATTATTTACAATAACCGGAATATGGAAGCAACCTAAGTGCCCATCAATAGAAGATGTGGTATGTCTATACAATGGAATATTACTCTGCCGTAAAAAAAGAATGAAATCCTATCATTTGTGGCAACATGGATGGAACTAGAGAGTATTATGCTAAGTGAACTAAGCCGGACAGAGAAAGACAAATACCATATGATTTCTCTTACATATTGACTCTAAAGAACAAATAAATGAACAAACAAAACAGAAAAGACTCAGAGATAAAGAGAACAAACTGAGGGTTGCCAGATGGAAGGGGGGTTGAGGGGCTAAGTAAAATAAGTCAGACAGAAGACAAATACCATATAATTTTACTTAAATGTGGAATGTAAAAAACGAAACAGAAACAGACCCACAAATACAGAGAACAAGCTGATGCTTGCCAAAGAAGATTAAAGTAGGGAATGGATGGACAAAATGTATCATAGTGTCTAAAACATAGTAAATATTCATTTGGTGAAGATTGCCTAAATGTTTACTGTGAAACATTCAAATGATCTGTGACATACAAGTTAATTAACATTTGTTAAACACATAATCTGTATCAGTTATAATGCTGGATACTTTACAGATTTTGGTATGTGAATAATACATATTTTTTAGATGACAATCTGAAGGCAGAGAAATTAATTTACTCCAGGTCATACAGCTCAGTAAGTCTGGTTGAATAAGGTGATAATATAGCCCAGCTGGGCATGGCACAGCAGTTGAGCATTGACCTAGGATTCAGGAGATTGAGGTTCGATTCCCAGTCAGGGCACATGCCCGGGTTGCAGGCTCAATCCCCAGTAGGGGGGCATCCAGGAGGTAGCCAATCGATGTTTCACTCTCACATAGATGTTTCTCTCTCTCTCTCTCTCTTTTTCTCTTCCTCTCTCTTTCTAAAAATCAGTAAAAAAAAAAAAACTTTTAAAAAATTAATTGTAGTTAGGTGCAAAGGAGGAGTACTCATTCTTTAAGTTGAAGGTGAAGGTAGAGCTGAAGCTACAGAGCTATTACAAAAATGGGAAGATTAACAGGGTGGCAGTGTTTAGGATAGATTTTAATCAAAAGCCTGAAGGAGCTAGAACACTAAGTAAGAGTTTATTGTATTAATCTGGGTATAAGGCAGTAATTTCTTAATTTGGGAGGAACAGGACCACAGATCTCTCTGAGAGTTTAGTAAGAGCCATAGACTATGCCCCCCCTCCCCGAGACCTGTAGATATATACCAAATTTTACATGTAAAACTTTGTGGAATTCAAAAGTCCTCCCTTTATACCAAAGGATGTATAATGTCTAATTGATTTACTAATGCAAACATTAATTAGAGGTTCAAGTGGCATTATTCTGCTCTCTTTATTGTAAAGTTCCCCACTGATATTTTACTCAATGGTTTTGTTAACCATTTTTAATAGTATTCATTATTAATGATTGCAAAAAAAGTAATTTTCCAATTCTGTCATTCCTTATGCATGAATTATTTGATCATTCTGACATGTACTTTGTATTATATTTCAGGATATAGTGATTCTTTCCTTTTATTTATTGAACTATTGACTTGGTCCCCTAAGGAGCTCCAAAAGTAAGCAATGAAGTTTTGCTTTTAAGTATCATTATAAACTCATGGATTTTTATGTAGTTTATGTTAATTCATTGCAATTATTATTCTTTTTAGGCTCACATAATTTCATCTTACCCATGAGAACCTCTTCAGGTTGGCTTTTGACCTGATCCCATTTATCTTTGTTAGCTCCTTTGATGTCTGACCCAAGGAGATGTCCCAAGTTTAACTCATACACTTCTGCTCTAGACCTGAAGTCAGACATTTCTCAAGGATCCTTGGTTTCTTTTAGAGAGAAATGGTATATAGATACCACAATCTGGGTGCTTGGTATACTAATTGCTACTAGGTTGTCATTGCTTCTAGACTTTCTAGGAAAGACTTTTTTTGAGAAAAATAAATTATTCATACTGTATTTCCAATTCAAATTTAAGATTACAAGGCTTTAATTTTATTGCTCCTTTAATTTTATTGTTATGGACTGAATTGTCCACCCAAAATTCATATGTATGTTGAAGCTCTAACCCCTAACCTCTACACCTCTGGAGTGGAGGGCTATCTCTGTCCAGCTCCAGTCCCTACCACTCTTTCCCTCACCCTATATTGTCGCAGTCCCAGACTCCTGCTTATCATACTACATTCTCTCACACCCAGGCACCTCTGCACATGCTCTTCTTTAAGCCTTGAGCTTCACCCCCTACATCCCATGTCCCTCTCCTCTGGTTCCCTGGCCTGGGGCTGTGTATTGATCAATTCCCCTCTCTCTGCAAAGTTAGGCACTCCTTTCTTAAGGCTCTCATCACTCCTGCTTGTTTTATAATTGTTTCTTTACTCACCTGTCCTTACTAGACTGTGGTTATTTTGAGAGTAGGGGTCTCCTTTGATTCATTTTTTTTGTCCCCAGTGCCTAGCACAGAGTGAGAAAAAGTTTTCTAGAAATGTTTGCTAAGAAAGAAGTGTGGGAGAGACTAACATATGGATGGATGATTTTCCCAGCCTTCCCTCAACAGTTACTAAGATGTTTCAGTGATCAAAAACAATTGACCATATCCATAGGTTGGCTGTCGAATTGTGCTAGTAGCCTGTTGTTTTCTGTTCCTCTTAGCAATTCCTGAACAAGAGCCTAATAATATATTCCAGATTTCCCTCTGTCTGAGAAAGCAGCATCAAGCAGCCCGCTCAGGGCCCATCTAACTCCTTCATAATTGGCGAGTATATATGTACCCACACAGGACTTCCAACCATCTCCCAGATACTGAGAAATATTACACCTAAATTCATAAAAAGCTACGGAGGTTTATCATTGTCCCAGCAGTGAAAGTGATTGGGACAGCAGGCTGTGGTGGCAGAAATGCTTAAGTAGTTAAGTCTCAACATTTAGTTGCATCCGATGTTTCAGTATTAGATGAGTTAATGAAGCTCCTCTGATTTCGGAGGCCTTGTCCAATGCTTGGGAGGGAGCTCAGCGGAAGAAGAGGAAACCAAACGGGATAAGAAAAGGCCAGAAGGCCCCGCCCCCCGCTCCCGGGCGACTCACGGCCCGGGGCGCCCTTTAAGGGGGAGTGGGCGGGGTCCTGCCCTTAACCCCGCCCAGGCTGAAGGGACCTCCGGCCAATGAGAGGGGCGGTCCGAGGCGGAGCCACCCGCGTGCGGCGTGACGCAACTACGCACCGACCGGCTCTCTGCGACTCGCGCGCTGGGTTTTAGGGTCGGGAGGTGAGTGCGGGCCACGCGCTGCCCCCGCAGGGGGTGGGCTGGGGTGGGCGCTACCGGGTGGAAGCCCTCGGGGCGAGGCGAGGCTCCGGACCTCGGGACTGTCAGCCGGGGCGGAAGGGCCGGTCGCCCCCAGCCTTCCCCAAGCGGAGTGGGATGCACGTAGTATTGACTGACCGAAAGCAGCCCAAAGTCACGTCCCCTTCGCTGCGGGGACAGCCCCGCGCTCCGCCTCCGCCTCCGCCTCGGGCCGCGTGCAGGGAAATGAGAGACCCCAGTAAAGGCAGCGTCTGGTCGCGTTGAACGCCCCCGAACACCCCTGTGAATAGGCCCTGCTGTTATTCCCATTTTGCAGAGGGGGAAACTGAGGCTTAGAGCGGTTAAACTTACAGCTCTGTAAACAATGTAAAGGTGGGAGGTTGGGGAATGAAGCAAACGTGGAGTCGTGTAAGCATCTCTCGAGGGGTGGTGCCGGAAGGCCAACAAAAGCTGTGTCTGAACTTGGGCAGTTCTAGGGACAGAATTCATTCAGCGAGTCATAACCACCGGGATATTAAACTTTGAAATTTGTTTTTCAGGTGACCCAAGCCTACCCAAAATGTCAGTAGCTCGTTCATCCGTCCATGCCAAATGGATTGTGGGGAAAGTGATTGGGACAGCAATGCAGAAAACTGCCAAAGTGAGAGTAACCAGGCTTGTTCTGGATCCGTATTTATTAAAGGTGAGAAACATCCATTTTGAGTTGGCACTGATAAGTCACCAACACATTCTGGGTTCTGAGCAGAAAAACACCTCCCTGTAACACTGCATTGAGCATCTGCTGCAAACCAGGTACTGGGGCTGGTTAACAAAGTCAGTTATTCATGCTTTATACTCGTAAGGACACACAGAGTTCATTTCAATTCAATCTGTTAAGTGCTGTCGTCTTTCTATGTGCAACATATTGTGGGAGCAGAGAGCCGCACCCTCATTCTTCCTTCCCAGGTTGCTGAAGGAGCACATCCTCTGTTAAAAGACATTTGAGCTGAACCTCAAAAAGGATTTTATCCAGAGAACCAGGTTGGGGGAAGTCATTCTGGCCATGATGAGTAATTTGTGGAAGTTCTTTTAGCCTTGAGAGAGTATGACATTTATAGGAACAGAGTTTGGCGCAGTTTGGCACTAAGGCACTGTTGAATGGGTGCAAGAACAATCAGAGCTGGACTGTGAAGGGCCTTTGATGTTGTATTTTGGGTTTCATTGTATAAGCAAAGGAAAGACAGACTTGGAGATGGGTAGGGATGCAGGTTAGAGGTAAGGAAATGGGTAAGTTGGCCATTGCAAAAGTCTAAGGTGGAAATGATAAGGACCTGAACACTCCTTGGAGCAATGGGGATGTATCGGGAAAAGTAGATTTCAGAAAGGACAGAGTCCTTGATTTGTTAGATGTATAAAGGAGGGAGGGGGAAGTGCCAAGGATGTTTTGCATTCAAGGTTAGTAGAAAGGCCAGCTGTTATCTGGGATCAAGAGCACAGAAGTAAGCTGAAAAGTGATGGCATGATCATTGACCTTAAAACCAGAAGACTTTAGTTTGAGTACTGACTCTGTTGTTTACTAGCTGTGCACGTTGATTAACCTCCTTGAGCCTGTTTTTCTCATCTGTGGGTGGGAATACCTGCTGTGGTGGGGTTGTCTTGAGGAATAGATGATCCTGGTTATCTGTAGTTTGTTTGCAATACTTTGAGCCAGGCATGTAGCTAAGTGCTATATGTACATTATAATGTTTAATTCTCTTGGTACTTTTAGAGGTGCAGATATTAGGGCCTCATTTTATGATGGAAAAAAAAAAACTGAGCTAGGCGTTAAGTGATTTGTCTTAAATTACACAGCTAGTGGTGACAGTAGCATGTATATGGGCGGGAGAGAAGATGGTGCTGGAAGAATTTAAATAGTATACAGAAGGATGGTGATTGATAGAGCCAGGGTGCTGAAGATAATAGACTAGAGAGCTTGGAGAGAAGATCATCTCTGGGAAAGTCATTGCTTTTTCCAAAAATTAAGCAGCTAATTTTTGTATTGGAAGCCTCCTTAAGTACTTTATCATTTTTCCCCCAAGTCTCAGCTTATTTTCTGTGTATTACCTTTTCATACTCTGTGCTGCATTGCCAGATCACAGATGGGAACTACTGATTTGTTCCTCCTTCTCTCTACAGTATTTTAATAAACGAAAAACCTACTTTGCTCACGATGCTCTTCAGCAATGCACAGTTGGGGATATTGTGCTTCTTAAAGCTTTACCTGTTCCACGAACGAAACATGTGAAACATGAGCTGGCTGAGATCATTTTCAAAGTTGGACGAGTCATAGATCCAGTGACTGGAAAACCCTGCGCAGGAACCACCTACCTGGAGAGTCCAATTGGTTTGGAAACCACCCGTCTAACCAAAACTCTGGAAGAACACAGTATCTCATCAGAACAGTGAAGGAGGATTAGAAAAGTAAGCCAAAGGGAAAGATTTTTAAGTTTGCTAGAAGGAAAAGAAATTTTTCTAAGTTTCATTAAACACTGATCAGTTTCTCTTCCGGTATTTATGGAACAGCTAAAAGTAAATGAATAAAAGGTTTGTTACATTTTTCCAAAAAGGTTTATGGTCATGTTTCGGGGTGCGTACAGAAGGCAACCAGTCGATGCTTGTCTCTCACATTGATGTTTCTCTCCCCCTTCCTCTCTCTGAAATCAATAAACATATCCTTTGGTGAGGATTTTAAAAAATGGTATAATTAGATTCACATTTCAATACAAGTGATAGCATCAATATAGGGCATGAACTGGAAAGGGAAAGATTAGAGGTGGGGAGACAGTGGCCTGTTCGAACACTGGTCCTAAGGTGTAAACTGAGTTGGGCAGGGAGGGTGAAAAGAGGCTGGACAGATGATGTTCCAAAGTAGAAGTCTCAGGGCTTGGTGCCAAGGAGGGTACATAAAAGGGAAGCGTTTGAGGTTGTCTAGGTCTCTGGCAGCTGGGGCTTTGTGGTACCAACTATCCTGGAAGGGACAGGACATCTGTCCAAGCCATCTCTAAGAGCTCAAATATTTTAAATGTTTACATATATTCTAATGTATCATTCTTACCTTTTAAGATTTTTTTTTAAATCGTGGTACAAAAATTATGCTTCAGGAAGATGCCTCATATTCTGTGTTGTTGAGTTACCTAATCCCCATACCTGTGAAATAAAGAGTACCTCCCCGAATAAAAAGCACTGGGTTAATGGAACTCCAAAACAAAATGATAATGGAGAAAAAATACAGAATGAGTGGCCTAATACTAAATAACACAAAAGCAAGGTCAGCAAAGAAATGTCTACCAAGTTTACATTTCAGGAAAATAGATTTGAAAGCATTTGTCTCCTGGAATAGAGCTGAGAAATTGGGCAAATGTGTGAGAAAGTTCAAGGGCATATTGATACTACCTTGAAGAGGCCCTGTCTCCTGCTGTGCAGGACTGGGACCTGTCTTTTTTGCCCTGGGGATAGCTCACTTCAACCTCCCTTGTGGGTTTATTGAGCCTCTACAGCGTCACTGTGCCTAAGTCAGTTGAGATCAGGGACTCTGAGCCACACAAACTCCAGCCTCCTGTCCCTGTGTCTCTTGACCTCCTTTCCACTGCCTTTTAAAAGACAGATGGATCTCCCTGGGCAAATCCTTGTTGCCACTCCTCCATCCACAGGATCTACTTCTGTCCTTCCTGGTGGCTCCTTGCCATATGAAGGTGTTCAAACATTGCCCCAGTCAGAAAACTGCACCACTTGAGCCCCAATGCTTCCTTCACCTCCAATATTACCAGCTTCAGAGAACCCCTCAGTCCACAAGCCCAATTCCTGCTCCCACCCCTCCTACAGAGGCCTGCCTGATAGCAGACACCTCCCAGCTACCTGGTCGTGGGGGCATTTTCCTCTCAGCCTCTGCAGATTCACACTGGCCTTGAAATGGATGGGACTTCTGCTGCTCTTTTTCTCCCCCTTTCTCTCACGGTCTAGCTCCCTTAATGCTTGCCTTGTCTTGGTTGCAGTTTTCATGGTTACATTTGTGGCTCTTTTATCTTAGGGCAGGATGCACTTTCCCCAAACAGTGCCATCCCGACCCATGCCTTTAAGTTGTTTCCCTGCTGATGGGAAATGTACTCCCTTCTTCCACTGGTCAACTTCTGCCCCCTTGGGATGCGCTGCTGTGACAGCTCCTGAGTGTCTAACCCCCACTTCACAGCCACTGCTGGTTACATGCTCTCCCCTCCATCCTCCCTTCCCATCTTGTGAACCTCTCCATTTCAACACTTGACACAGTGGATCCAATCTTTTCACAGCCTGCCCCGCTGGGCTGGGATGGAGCCAGAGCCTGCCAACCGCTGCCGAGATGAACACAACAGTGTAGTTCCGAGCCTATGAGAACTTGAGTATGTTTCCATCCAGAATGCTTTTATTAAAGCTGTATGCATGTGGGTTTTGTTTATTTATGTTTAAAAGCAATATATATTTACATAGTACAAAATTTTAAAGGTATTCGGGAGGAAGCCTGCCTCCCATCTTTGTCCTCCAGGCCCTGGAGTCCCCAGCAACATTAATACCCTTTTCTCTCAAGCCTTGCCCGTGTTCCTCCGCGCACCCTGTTCTGGCACCAACTCCTGCTGCCGGAGGTTACTGATTCTTGGACTCCCAGCTCCTTTCTC